TTCAATCAATCCCTTTGTGAACTGACTTGAATTCAAAGTCCAACAAAATGGAGATTGCAAACAAGATGGTGGGCCTTGGGTGTTCTGACGTATGGAAACCCAAGGAGTGTATTGGTAAAATAAATATCAGATTTTTCAAAAATGTAAGAAAATTTGATTAATTGGTGAAAAAAAAGCGATTTATTTTTTGCCCTCCCCTAGCTTGAATGCAGGTCAGCTGATGTACTTGTTTGAATAGTTCCTCCTGTTAGTCTCTAGTGAAGACATGTTTATAGTGGCCTTTCTGTTGACATTTTTCTTTCAGGTGCACAGAGTGCCACAGCACTCTGCTTCCTGGATCCTACAAAGGAAATAACTCCGGGGCGTTGGTGTGTACACACCATCTTTCAAGACACACTTCAGCCAGTCAGAACGGCCGTCCGGATCTCAGCAAGAAACCAGAGGAGGTTCAGTCTGCTCGGACCGGTCGCAGTGCAGCTCCCTTCCCCGCGCTCTCCGAGAGGGATGAGGCGAAGACCCCTTCTCCAGTTCGCTCAACAAGCACCGACACACCAGCTGATGACTCGGTCGCAACCACTGCTGTAGTAGCAAGCAAGGAAGAGTCTTTGGGTGAGGAAGAGGAGGAACCGCGTCCTTCCTCTCCTCCTAATCCTTTCGATGAGAGTGATGAAGGGGAGGGTGAAATAGAGGAAGAAACTCAAGCTGAAGAAGCTTCAAATGGGGATCTTCCTCCTCCCTCCGATAGCGAAGCTGCTGAAGCCAGTCGACCTGTTCCTGCACCCAGGAGGGTGTCAGAGGTCACCCCTCCACCTCGCCCTGCGCCTCGGGTTCGGGTGTCCTGCACCGCAGCCGGTAAGTTCCTTCGTCAGGATCCGAGTGCTCTCAAATTAGATACACAAACATTTGTTCATACTTTTCTTTTGAAATCACAGGAGAACATCTGAAGCCTCCCACTCCTCCCAAACCAAGAGAAAGATCACAGTCTCCTGGAAGGTGGGCCAGTTTTCTGTGTGATGCCACTTCTCCTGGGCATCGGCACCATTTCACCTCCCTGAATCATGTCATTAGCAGTTCCTCGTCACAGTTCTGAAATGCATTTTGTCGCAGCATGAACCATCACTGTTTGTGCCTTGCAAAAGTATTCATACCCACAAGACTGTTGGATACTTTGTCAACTTGCGACCCTAAACTTTGAACTGCATTATGGGGAAAGGGTGGTGTATAATTCAAAGTTGCAGAAAAATGAAACATGGATACTTTTTTTTTTTCCCTCAAATCTAAAAGGTGTGTCATACACCCTCCCTGAATTAATACTTTATAACTCTGTCTCTGTTGCAATTACACATGTAATTTTTAGAGTTATGCGTGTACCAGCTCTGCACATCTAGAGGCTGAGATTTTCCCCATTTTACATTTTTACACTAGTTAATGATCAGTCAGATTAGATGAAGAGCTCCTGTAAACGGGGTTTTCAGGTAGATTTAGGTCTAGACATGGTGCAACGATCTCTTAGAATGGTTCCAACATATTATTGCACAATATCATCATGTAAAACTTGACATTGTAGCTCCAGTTTTGTGTGTAGGATTTTCACCGTTTCTGCTAAAGAAAAGCACACCCACAAAGTCAGGGTGATGCGCAGAGTTAGTTTCTCACCACACTGAACATGTATCGGATTTTTTCTTTTTTTTCTTTCGGCTTTCTTATTGCTGCTTTCCCATTAAGACCATTTGACATCTACACAACTTGAGGAGCGTCGGTGTCAAAGGGACCAAATACAAGCGCTCCACAGCAGATTCCAATTAACAAAAAAATGTGAAAACTATTTATCATTTTCCTTCCACTTCACATTTCTGCAGTAAGGTATTTCATCGTATCTTGATGTGAGGTTGTCGAATGACAAAGTGAAAAATCGTTCAAGAGGTATTCATACTTTTCTAAGGTACTGTGTGTGTGTATATGGGTGTGTATGATGTGGTTTTCCTCCGTGTGACCCCTCCATCACTGTCTGTGTCTCATGGTTCAGTGGCACCCATAAACCTAAAGACCCACCTTGGCTTGCCCTGGTCCAATCAGAAACTAAGAGGAAGAAAGCCCCTCCTCCGCCCCCTCCTGGAGTGGCAACGCCTCCAAACTCGGGCTCTCCGTCTTCTCTCCAAGCGGAGGGCTCTGGACCCGGCACGCCCGCCAACCCATTTGAGGATGAGGACGATGAAGTCGACGAAGAAGAGGGAAGCGACGGAGGAACAGCTCCACCCGCAGTGGCGGCCACCCACCCATGGTACAGCATCACCCAGACACCTGAGGGGGCAGGTTCAGAGGTCACGCCCAGAACGGGAAGTTCGTCCCGTTCTGCCAGCCCGGGCAGCGCGAAGAGCAAGAAGAGGCCGGCCCCTCGGGTTCCCCCCCAACCGCCTACTGGGAACCAAGGTTGGTTTGATCAAAACCTCATGTAGCTGAACATTTACACTTTAACAAAAAAAAAAAATAAACAAACATTAGACTCGTATCAGCAAACCTGTTCCAGCTTCACAGCATTTATAGGCTTGTGCTGAGTGAATGAAGCATAAAGGGGGTCTCTAGAAAGTTTTACCAAAAGAAATTGAGGATTCCTTAACCATTCTTTTTGTCTCTAGTAAACTTTAGAACATTTTTGTCAGTCCTCAAGATCTATCTTGCAACTTTAAGATGCCTCCTTGCTCCAACAGACCTGTATCAGGTGGCTGAATGAACTCCTGAACATGTGATCTGGTACTGCAGTGGCCTGGTTAATTTGATTCATGTGTGCTGGGTTCATCTAAAAGCTGCAGCCCAGTAGATCTCGAGGAGAGAAATAGACTGTTAAGAGTATTGTATTGTAATAATATGTTCTTTAACAAATATTAATACATTTCATGCATAAAAGGGAAGTTTATTTCTATAGGCGCTTTACCTGATGAGAACATAGAACAACACACATGCAACCAACAAAAATGTATACATTTCTTAACTCGTAATGATTAACAGAAATCATGATGAAATATAGAAATGAAGACTGGAATGAAATGGAATGGAAGAATGGAATTGAATATAAAAATTTCCTGTTATTCTTCGTCCTTATCTATATACTAGTCAGTGTGTGAAGGGCTGACCTTCTCTAGGTCTGAATTAACAATTTTTTTCCTTTCGCTTCCATTTTATCCTGTCCCTGCTTCTTTTCTGCTTCATTTGTGCCACCTTGCCTCTATTATTTTATTCTTCTTGCCAAACGACCTTCCTCAGCTCCCTCTCACTCGCAGCCCTCCTCCTGTTCTCCTTCTCCAGCTCTCAGCATAGAGAGTTTGTCTTCCTCCTCAGACCACAGCTCCTCCCAGCTCCCACTGGGCGCCAGCAGCGACCAGGAGCAGAGCTTCGGCAAGAGCGTCTCGGAGCCGTCCATCTCGTTGCCCGGCGACAACCCGTCTCCTTCGTCCTCAGCAGATCTCCTGAACCACTCCTCCCAAAGCTCCTCTCCGTCTGCTTTGCCTCCCAATGCCAGCTCCGCTCCGGCCACTCCGCAGAGCAGTCGTAACACTGGAGCCAAGCCGCCTCGACCGACCACCACTCCCAGCCCGCTGACCACGCAGGCACACAACAAAGTAATGAAATCCTATACACTTGACATCATAATGCCCAGGTTCTGTATCTGGACGTTGGGTCCATGTTACATCAAATGTCTTTTTTTTTTTTAATGGTGCTGTTTGGAAATGTTTAATCAGAACAGATTCCAGGAGGATTAGCGAAGCACAGATTTGTTTCTGCCTCATCACTCCTACCTGTTCTATACTTTTTACAGGAAAATCGGCATCTGTTACACTGACACCAGTGTGTGTAGCACATGCTACAGTCACAATCTTTAATATGTTTTCTGGAGATGTTGGCATCAGGGCTGCTGGTTCAAGCCTCCATGGGACCAACCACAATTTTATTCTGGGTCCATATCCAGAATAAAATTCTGGATAATCGTCTGTTGATTTGCAGACGATTAGATAATTCGAACAACTGCTATAAACTCATTGCATCTCTGAATAGTGCTGTTTATGTTACATTCTACATGCAGATCATCTAGTGGTGGCAAGAGCAACAAACAAAAAAACAAAACAACTAGCATGCTCTGGACTTGAGATGGAATACATGAACACATTTTCATGACATGTCTTGGTTAAACTAATTTATCTTCGGTGTAATTCCAGTACCGAAAAATTAACCTTATACTAGGTGAGTCTCTTTCACCTGAGAATGTGAACCTGTACTGGGCTGATACTGTGCTTTCAAATAATTTTAACAGCTCCTGCAGAAGATTCATAACTTATAAGTCTGAAACAGGAACAGGTCTGACAAAACAAACAAACTGCGTGCTACATTCAAGAGAGAGATTCCTGTGATGCATCAAAGAGTGATGTCATCACTGCTGATGTCATTGTTACCACTGGAACTGAACATTCTAATGGTGCGCCTCACACCAAACACGCCCCGAGCGCTAGGCGAGTCCGGCACACACCCAAAACCCACTCGGAGTGTTGGACATGCTCCAAATGGTTGAAAACGTGCCTCCACACAGACCCTGAATGCAAACCAGGCACGCCCGATGCCCAAAACGTGCCAGGTGTGAACGCACCACTACATGTCCAGTGTCATATTAGGACCAAAGCCCGGTCCCGATATGATGGATTCATTAGGGGTAATGTTTAGAGGTAATTAAGTAGGGTTAGGAATAGACTAGTATGGGTTAAGGTTGGGAAAATGTGTGGATTGGGCAAAATCACAGCTACTAAAATGAAGGGGAATCAGTGCAAAGTTCTAATATGGGTCAAAATAGTTTTGACAAACCTGTATAGCATTTTGTTTTCCAAATCATTCTATAAATTATGATGATATAATGTTAGGTTGTTTTTCTGCATAGCTGCAGTACATTAGTAGTTTAATGTGTTGAATTTGCTGAGACATGTTCAATTAAAAGCCAAGGTAAACATACCTTTATCTTGGCTTTTTCTATTCTTCCTTTTTCTTTCTCTCTGAAGAATCGGTTCTCTTTTGCGACATTGCTTATCTTCCATCAAATGTCTTTTTTATTTTATTTTTGCAGAAGTTTTGTAAGGAGAATCCCTTCAACAGGAAAGCTTCTCCTTCCAATGCCAAGTCTGAAACTCGACCTTCCAAAGGTCCTCGTCCTGCCAGACCCCCGGCACCAGGACACGGCTTCCCACTTATCAAACGCAAGGTATGAAATGGCTTGGCTTGATCGTTTTTTGTTTGTTTTGTTTTTAAATGATACCAACAGGATACGTTCTCACCAGGCTCCAAATAATCCTTGCAGGTGCAGTCGGATCAGTACATCCCAGTAGAGGACATCCATGCGGAGTTGCTTCAGCTGGAGAAGCAGCTGGATGAGCTGGAGCAGAGAGGGGTGGAGCTGGAGAAGAAGCTCAGAGACACTCCTAACGGTGTGGTTTCTGTTATTTCTCGTTGCAATACAGTAAATATAAAAAGTCTACTCAACCTTGGAAATATATTTTTGTGACTTAAATAAAAAAATAAATAAAAATGAGACAAAGATAAATGATTTCAGAGCTTGTTTCACGTTTTCATACGACCGTTGCTTTGTACAGTTCAAAAGGGGAAAAAAGTAAATGTTTTAGAAAATAAACATGAAAGAGTAATCAGGTTGCATAATCTTAAAGCAATACTTTGCTGAATCATTTTTCAATTCCAGCTTTCAGTCTTCTGTGGTAGTTGTAGGATCTTCATTAAATGTGCATCACTTTGGCTAAACCTGTGGTTTGTACAGAGTTTACAAAAGGATCAAAATCTCATAGTACAACAAACAGTAGCATAAATAGTTAAGTCACTACAGAAGCTGTCTATTGCTGACAAAACAGACGAGATGCAGGCAGGTCAGAGAGGCTGCTAGGAGCCCACTAGTTGTGGAAATGTTCAGCAAGAACTTATTGTGTTCTACTTATCAAAACAGACTAATGAATTCTCCATATATCTGGTTTGAAGAGAGGTTTCTCTTTAAAAGGAAACATCTGGGCATGGCCAAAATCTTCTAATCCCTTCTGGGAAAACAAATGATAGTTACATTAAAACTTTTGACCATAATTTGGCACTAAAACAACATCCCATCTCAGTCGGTGATGAAAGATTACACTTTCCCCTTTAACATGATTCGTTTTTCAGGTTAATTGTATCGTTACGTGTCACATTAAAGGTAGGAAAAGCTCTGAAATGACTCATGCTCTCCTCTTTTCGTGTCACAAAAACATTCCTCCAGGTGTGTAGAGATGATTTCTGTTCAAACCAAGTTTTCAAAGAATCTTTATATTTAATGCCAAGTCATGCTGAAGTATTTCTCTTCTGTTCTCTGTTAAGATGAGGATGAGGAGCGCCTCCTGGTGGACTGGTTCACTCTGATTCACGATAAACATCATTTAGTGCGACGTGAAGCCGAGCTGGTCTACACGTAAGTCTAATACCGAAGAAACGGTTCTCTTCATATTTTGAGGACGAAAAGCAGCAGCAGCAATTGATGCTCTCATCGAGCAAACGGTTAAATTAAGTTTTTAATTGGTTGATTCTTTATTTATTGGCCCAGATCGTTGATGCTTCTGTACACAAACCGTTGACGGTATTTCTATCTTGTTTTTGAACAACGGTGCAAACATGGAAGAGACGTGGTTATATTGCATCTGACAGAAGTAGCACTATGAACCAGAATGTGGTGTTTCGTTCTCCACACAGTGCGAAGCAGCAGAACCTGGAGGAGAGGCAAGCTGATGTGGAGTATGAGCTGAGGTGTCTTCTCAACAAACCAGGTTTTCTTAGACTTCCATAATACCTGTTGGAACTTACTGTTTAATTCGCACGATTTGTGCAAAATGAACAGATTGAGTCTCTAAAAGTGTAAAACAAATGTCTGTATTCTTTTAAAAACAAAACAAAAAAAAAAACAGAGAAAGACTGGACTGAGGAGGACAAGAGTCGGGAACAGGAGCTAATGGCAGAGCTAGTTACTATCATTGAACAGCGCAACCAAATAGTTAACAGCATGGATCAGGAGCGACAGAGGTAGTCAGCAGCTTGCTTCACTGGTATCCATCACTGGTGTACTGGTATATACTGGTTGGTAATATTTCTGATCACTGTGTTAACAGGGAAGAAGAAGAAGACAAACTAATGGAGGCCATGCTGAAGAAAAAAGGTAGGATGTTTAAAATTAGGCGCTGGGCTCCTAAATCAGTCGATATTTTTTTTTTTGTAATTCCCTTTTCTCTTTTCTTCCTCTTCTGGTCAGACTTTCACAAGGATCCGGACAGTGACCACCAGAAGAAAAAAGGGACAAAGTTTAAACCCATCAAGGTGCTAAAGAGGCTGAGCCATAAAGGAGACGCAGGAAAGAGCCACAGCCCTCGCAAGGACAAAAGCTGAGGAGCAGAGACTGTTGGACTGTTTTAACAAGACTAAATGAGTTTTTATTAAAAGCTGAATTATGAAACATATCAGATCAAGAACAGAAACTTCCCTTTCCACCATGGCATCTGCTCACAATCCTTCTAAAACGGCTGCAGTGACTGTCTCCATCTGACGGTCTAACAAGCAAGCGCTTTCTGAGCTCTGAATAGTAAACATGGTGAAGTGTAAGGGACATTTTTATTGCGCCACACTGATTTGTTTTATTTCCAAGCTTTACTCTTCCGGTGTTCCTCAGTGCACCATGAAGGCTCAGCAGAGGACCATGTTTTAAACTTTTTGTTTCAGCTTGACGCCCGAGACCCAACAGTCATGGTTATATTGTAGGGATGCACCGATCAGAACTTTGTGGCAGTGGATCCGATCTCTGGTTTCTGTTATGCTTTGACCTTCTGAAACGGTTTTTATCCATATCCAGGTTTACTTGGCGGCATGAGAAGAATATTATTTAAGAAAAAAAAACTGCATTCAAAACATTCTTTTACACATTTCTTGCCCTACACAGTTATTAACAATACATCTTGGAAACAGACAGTTTCAGACTGTATCTGAGAATATATAGTAATAAATATGGTAACACTTTATTTGAAGGGGGGTGAATAAGACTGACATAACACTGTCATAAAAACCTGTCATGAACATGAATAAGCCTTCATGAATATTTATGACTGTTGTCATAAAGCGTCATTTGGTAAATTATGACACTTTTAATACAAAGTTGACATTATTCAAAATGTCTTTGTTATGACAACTTGACATTAACCAAGAAATCATTACTGATATAAATTTGTTATAAAAGTATTACTGATTGCACTTTAAAAATTAGGTAACTTTATGTTATTAAAGGTAAAGTTTGAACAGTAATGATTTCTTGGTTAATGTCAAGTTGTCATAACAAAGACATTTTGAATAATGTCAACTTTGTATTAAAAGTGTCATAATTTACCGAATGACGCTTTATGACAACAGTCATAAATATTCATGAAGGCTTATTCACGTTCATGACAGGTGTTATGACATGTTTATGAAAGTGTCATGACAGTCTTATTCACCCCCCTTCAAATAAAGTGTTACCATAAATATAATGATAAATTGATATTGAAGGCCAGAAAGAATAGAACAGGCCAACTGCAGTTATGGGTGCACTGATTGCAGTTTTCTGGCCAATCGCTGATTACTGATCTTGAAAAAGCCTGACCTGCCGATTTTGATTTTGGCTCCAGTTTATTTTTTTTTCTCTGAAATGTTGCTGAGTTGGCAACAGTGGGGTGACTGTTGTTAACTGCAAACCTGCAGACATGACCTGGTGGGCTGGTGAATCAGTCAAACTTCTCACAGGAGAAAAGAAGAAGTGGCTGATTTTTAGGCCTTTCCTGAGGTAGATGATTGGGAGATGAGATTGACTTCACATGTAAGTATCGGATGATCACCAATCTCCCAAAATTAAGGAAATCTGCGCTGTTACATCGGTGCACCCCTAATCTATGATGTAATTCATTCAGCCTTCCTGTTACCTACTGAATGTGCCGCTCTCTCTCGTTCTCCTGCAGCCTTATTTGCAAAAAACAAATTTTTTGTTTTCAACCGAGTTCTTGCAGCAGTGGAGCTTCTTCTGACTGCATTTTAAACTCCCCACAGCTACAGAAAATACTCTCTATACAGTAACAGCGTCCACACCTGAGATTTTTCTTAGTGTGACCTGGTGGTGCAGAGGTACGGTGCATTCACTGATCGGTAAAAACATCACATTTTTGAGTTTCAGTTTGGCTACTCATAGGTTAAAGCTTTTTAAGGCCAGAAATGGTCAAAAATACAGATAATATTAACTGATTTGACCTCAATATCACCTTTACTCCTTAGGAGAGAAGATGGACCTTTTATTTGTTTCAACCCGTTTGGTTTGAACTGGTGGTACTGTGTGTTGTTTTTTTTTTTTTTTAAGGATGATTGTGTTTTTGCTTTAAACTGCAGCATTTTCCATTGAAAAGCTCAACCAGCAAAGTATACCTAAAGAATTCCAGCTGCTGTAGTGTCTCTGAAATACTTGTCATTTGTTTTTGCCTGTGCTGGAAACTTACAGTATTTATGTGAAGTGTGTGTTTGGAAAAAAAAAAAGGGGGGAAAAATTTTTTTTTTTTTTTTTTTTTTTTTAAATAACCTGTAGCTCTGTTATAGTTCTCATAATTATCCGTCACACATGCAATAAATAGAAAAGGACAGTATATCAATAAGCAAATTACCATTTAATAGGAGCTTTAACTATCGGGTTAATGTAGGCTTCTTTATGCAATCAATAACTTTCACATTACAAAGCCTTGCTGTTTGTATATTGCCTTAAGGTTGATAGGAAATTGTATTTATGATCTTGCTGTCTGAGTGCCATTTATTTAACTGCGCATGTGGATGAAGGTCTGTGGAGTTCATGTGAAAGCGTGTTGTTGCTCTGCTCATGTTTTTGTCATTTAGCTCCTCACTCTGTCATCGCTCTGCCTCTGCTCTGTGCCTGATTTTTTTTTTCTTTTCTTTTTTTTTGTCCAGCGTAAACCAAGGGCTTTCTGTCACACATCTTTCTCGTCTATACTGTATTCTGCAACAGCAGCCGGATTAAATAAAGTACTGACAGATGTAGGGTGAAGAATAAATTTATTTATCCAGTTTTTTTTTTTTGTTTGTTTTTTTTTCCATTAACGTATAAACTTGAAACATGAGCCAGACAGCAGTTTGAACCGTTCTTTGCAGACCTGTCTCGTCAGTGCTCGTTATCCCTGAAGTGATGTTCACTTGTCTGTGTTCTCCTTGGACTTGCGTTCCTTTTCCAAAGCCTCCAGCTCATGAAGCTTCTGTTGTTGGTAAAAGGACAGGGGAAAAATGTGCCATTAATTTAACATCCTGGGTAAGTGCAAATTTATCACCAGTTGGCTTGATAATGTTCACTTCTGCTGCCAACCCATCTAATTTATCTATTTGCTATTTTCTTTTGTATATTTCTGTCGTGATGGCGATCTTAAATTTCTTAAATTTGAGTATGTTGGTCATAACATTCCTTCTGTATTGGTCTTATGCAATATTCAAATTTCCTGACACACTGAATTTATTTATTTTTTTATCAGTAAGAGATGATCATCCAAATTAACCACAATAAACACTTTATATATACATTTGTAGATAATGTGGAAGTTAGCATGGATGTAAAAATGTATTTTTGACAACATGAACCACGTCCTCACCTGTGATATCTGAGATTTGACAACAAAGGAATGCTGGTCCTGGCCCAAAGCTGCCATATCTTCTAGAAACTGTTCCCTTTCTTCTATTTCATTTAAAACTACAGAAAAGAAAGAAAATGCTTCATGTGAGGAACACGGGGAGAAAAAAGCTAGAGAGATTCAGAGATGCTGAGAGAATTATGAAGACTAATTCACAACAACCAAGACTTGTCCTTGATGGATTGTTTTTGTAACGTTGCTGCTCCATCTGGATCTGCATTCTTAGCGTTACCTTCCTCATAGGTGTCGGGCTTCTGCGCTTCCTCCGGTTTGCGACGTTCAGCTTTTTTTATTGACATTCCAGGGTCTTCATATCTTCCCGTTGCCATGAAATTCTGAAGCCTCCTCTTCTCATCATCCATATCTCCTGAGAGGGCAAGCAGAGAAAGGATCAGTGTGACCAGAACCGGGTCTGGATCGTTCTGAACATTCTCCTGCGTACACAGGAGAATTTCTTAACTACTGAAGTTCAGTCAAATATAATTTCAGGTACATACGATAGGGGCCAGGGTGAAACATTTCCCTCTCGTAGCTCTTCCCAGCTCGACAAGCTTCAGCATTGCGTTTCACAGTCCTTCTAGGCTTGCACTGATAGTCAGATTTACTTGCAGTAGATTTTTCTGAAGCAGAAGTCGGCAAAGCTGCACCAACGCAAGGGGGAACATTTTTCATTTACTCACCGACGGGTAGCGATGAGTATTTTTAAAACTGCTGACTGAACATATACTATGTATTTTCAGCCATATTTAGCCTAGAGTTAAAACATCTAAACATTTAACATCAATACATTAACTACCCACACTGTGTGTAAAAATACTGATTTAAAAACTCATTATACTACTCCTTGCTAAAGAATCTGTATCGAATGAACTTTTCGCATTTTGTCATGTCAAAGCCACATAATTTCAATCATAAGAGAGATTATAATTATAACTGCAAAAATGTTTAGCTGTTTTTATGTTTGTTGTGCATTTGTAGATATATAGATTTGCATTTCTGAAAATGTTTTTCATTTACATGGGTGATCTTCTAAATGCACTGTAAAGGCAACAAAAATGAAATGTAAATTGCTTTATGCACCATTTGTTAGTCTCTCACAAAAGTCGTTGTGTTGCAAGCTTCTTTTTTTATTTTTGTTTGTAACTAACAAGATATGAAAAATACTTTGTTGTGGTAAAGCATTACTGCTTCTGATTTAAACAGACTTACACGTTGCTGATCTGATGCTCTCTTTTCTCTTGATGTTTATAAGGTCCGCCTCTTCTTTCCTCACTGAACAAATCAGAAGAACATCATGAAAAAGCACAAGTGAGACGAGGAAGTGCTGAACCACTGACCTTGCTGCACAATAACACTATCTCAGCCTCTAAGGACACGCATATAAACCCAAATGATGTTTTTTTTTTTTTTTTTTTAATGCATTGTCAAAGGTTTAAAAAGCTTGCCTAGCTATGTTTCCTAGATAGATGTTTGCTGATATCAAACATTAGATTTAAAACAACTGTTTAATATAGTTAATTTCATGAGTGGAAACAGTAAAATATAAACAAATTCATCCACTCACAGCTCTTCAATTCCTCGGCCTCCTTGTTGTACCGTGGGTGTCTGGGATTATTCCACAGTCCTCCTCCTCCTGCACCTATGAAGACGTTCTCCATCTGTAAACACACACACATACACACAGAATTAACAGAAAACCACTTATCCAAGCTCAAAAAGTCACATCTTTATAAAGGTGCTGCTATAAATGTAAGCAGGACGGTATGGTAAAGACATTTAAATAATTAATTTTTTTTAAATAACTAGCTTGTTTTAACAAGGTTTGGCTAACAACTCTACGTCGCCGCATACAATTAAAAGGCAAATGAAGAGAAACCACAATAAACTGACGATTGGTTTTTAGAAAATGAAGGGAAAAACATTCTAAAGTAGTGACGACATTAACAAAAACAACTCAATTTGACCTGCTTTGAGTTTTAAAAGCACGCAAATCCAGAACTCCGCTCAGTAAGTCGGCGAAACCGTGTTGCTATAGCAACAGCAAAACACTAGGAGAGTCCGACGTTAATGGTTGTTTCTGAATTACACGTTATTTCAGCAGGTTTATTCATGAAATTTTCGCTTAATAGTAAAAATATGTAAAAGGAAAAAAAAGTTCTTAACACCTTAATTTATTAAAGTTAAAAAGTTATGAATTCCCGAGTCTTAAATCATAGATTCAAAGTCATGGGTTTAAAAGTATTAATTTATATTTTTAGTCAAAGCTATCAGTTTCTATCTCGTAATTATCAGCTTAAAATTAAAAAATAATACCAGAAAGTTACGAATGCCTAAGTTATAATTATCACATTCAAACTTATAACAATGATACACGAAGTCAAAATAGCAGGTTTCAAAACTGTAATTATAAAATGCAAAGCTATCTTGGCTTTTAAAGTGGTAATTATGTATTTTAAAATTTTAAACGTGACAAAGTCAGCAATCTAAAATAAAAACTGATGACATGCAAAGTCATAATTATGAGATTAAAAGTCATCATTTTAATTTATTTCATAGGAGTTTCAGAGTTCTGCTTTTGAATGTTGTCTCGTTAAATCTAAATCCCATAGATTGTTTCTATTGAATTTTTTTTATTCAAAACGCAAGCAGTTTTTAGCCTTTGGCCTCCAAAGAAGCCATAAACAAAAGTTTTCTGTTTATGGTTAATAAGGAGAATACATATTAAATATATATATTTTTTTGCTGTACACATCAAAATGTGTTTTTAGTTGTACAAATGAGCCATATTTCAGTCTACACCATCAGAATGCCATTAAACAGAAGACAGGTGAGAAAGTTATGTAGGTTTGTACAACTTCTTCATAGTGTCATATTTCTGAAAACATCTGGGATTTATGCTACACCTCGAACAATTCAAGTACTTGCCTCGTCCCAGGCAGGTGCTTGGTTGACCAACTATCCCTTTATTAAAATGCCTGTTGGAGAACTTCATGAATCGAACAAGCTTCATGTTTAAGGCCATTCAATTTTCATTATGAGTGTCTGCTGTAATCATCATTCAGATGGAAAGAGAGTCTTTATCAGTGGCGGGCTCGTCATCACGGATCAGCAGTAGCCTTTATCTGCAAGTAGGCAGCCGGCTGCCTTCAACCCGTTTCCAAAGATAAACAGCAGCGAGGATATAATCACCTTCCATGCACAGGTCTTCTCAGAAGCTGCATGTCCGCACCAGGAATATACGGGCAGGCCTGCGTAAATAACTGGGCTAAACTTTCCATAAGAAAACAAAAGAGACTGGCTTTCCAGAGAGGACTTAGAGTTTTAAAATACTCACATTTAGAAATATTTTGTTTCTATGTTTTCTTTACTCCTATTTTCTCTTATTTGTGACATATTTACTTATCAAATAAGCAAGCTTTTCTAATGATAGGCCAGTAGAAAATTGTTTTTTAATTTCCTCATAATAACTTGAAATTAATATTTTACATAAAGTTACACATTCCTGAAATATACCCATAACGTCTGTACCCTGTGGCACAACAAACATTTATTAAACAGTTTCCGAGCTTCTGGAAATTGTCTAAAGTAAACTACTTATAGGGTAAAGCTAAAAGAGCAAGAGAAATGACAGAAATAGGTCAATTTCATAAACTCAGTGGGTCTTTCTGTCTTTCTTACTTCTTTTATTAATTTATTTTCTTGTTTCTTTCTTTCTTGCTTTTTTCAGTTGTTTCCTACTTGATTCCTGCCTTTTTCTGTAAAATATGTTTTCCAATTATTCATTTTTAGGAATGTACCTTTTTCATGGCAGACATATGGATTCATTCAAGTGTTTCAACTAAAACAAAAATAAAATATCTGAGTGTCCACATATAAATTAGAAGTTTTTTTGTGATAATAATCATTTATTGCAATAATTTCTTCAAATATTCTGCAAATTATTATTTGAAATAGAAAAAAAAAATCAATTGTCAATAGTTTAATTGAATAGGTTTTGGCTCTAAATTCTCCAGAGCAGGAAGAGAGTTGAGCAATGGAAAGGGTAAAGTAATTCACTCATGTCTCCTCCTCCTCCTCCTCCTCCTCCTCCTCCTCCTTCTAACGGTCCAGACCTACATGAAAAAGAGAGATTTGAAGTTGGACAACCAGCTGACAGAGACAGACAAGAGACATGAGGAGAGATAGTGATGAGCGCTAAGGAGACTTCACTTCTCTGAGGCCCTCGGGCTCCGAGGGGACTAGAACTGAGCTAAGAGGACTCACAACTTTAGAAAGTGAGGGGAAAATAGTCATGAGAGATTTAAAAAATTTTAATCAAAAAAAAAAAACCTCTGTTGGAATTGTAATCACTGTTAGTATTTTTAATTTATTTTCCTGCTCTCCGCCTCACCAAAGAGATTGATGGCTGCTACTCGGGCTACGCTCCCTTCCTTTAGCTCATTCTCAGGTCTTTCTACCTCCACTGACAACATGAAAGTGAGTATGGCATCGTCTGTATGTTTCATTTTTGCGCATTGGCAAAACAACAGCATAAAAAATTATTTAAAGATGCACGATGCGGGAAAGGATTGTAGATGGAGAGTTAAAACAATATCTAAGAAAAATGAAAAAGTTAGACTGTAAAAGTAGATTATTTTTTCTGTGCAGTTTGCAGCATAATTGATATCTATTTTACTGATAGCGTTTTCTAAAATGTTCTGAATAAGGTTACGGTGTTGCTTGTGATTATATCAGTAACAAAAATATTTTTGTGATCTTATTAGAAAGTGTTTTGTATTTATTGGTATTTTACTGGGGCTGGTTTTTGAAACTTTAACTTTAGATTCAGCTTTAAACAACATGGATGTGCTCAGAGCCGGACCGAGGTACATGCAAACCAAGCTGCAACTTAGGGTTTCCAGAGCAGCAGAGCCCTTATAAAACCGCTTCAGTTTTTATAAGTATATAAAAGTTGTTCTCAAAATAGCAGATTATAAAGATTTTTTAGTTTTTATTTGTTTAAATCAGTTAATTTAACAACAAAATGTTAAAAAAAGAGTGACAGATGTACTGTGTTTGAACAGAAAAACAAAGAATGTCATAATTATGTTGGTGGAGTCATAATTGAGCGTAATCATAATTACGCATCATGTGTCTGAGCTGCGTTCACATTTTTCTGTTTTCAGATGAGTCATTCAGCCACATTGCAGCCACATATTTTAGTGCATTTTATTCATTACAAAGAAGTGTATAATTTTTAACAATGCACTTGTGTAATTATCATTTGTTTGTAGGTTTGTCTTTGTGCCACACACTTTCTGTTTCCCTTTAGTAATTACATGATTTCTGAAGATAATAGGATGCATTGTATTTTATTTAGGGTTATCAGAGTAAGGGAGCTGAGTACAAATACATGCCATAATTTTCAGATTATCATAAAAGAAAAAAAAAAGATTCCCCGGCAACTGTTGTTTTGTACTACTTTAATTGTTTTAAAACTTTTTTGACTCATCTATGGAAAAGTTAAAAATTGGTGAAAAATGAATAAAATGAACATCAGTCTCTCACATAAAATTTCAATAAATAAATAAAAAAAACATTGTTAGTCTGTAATGTGAGAAAATGTGAAAAAGATGGATAGTATTAATAATACCACTGCTACTACAGCTACTACTAAAAGTCATTATTATTATTATTATTATTATTATTATTATTATTATTATTATTATTATTATTATTATTGTTTAATGTTTGTGTCCAAAGTGATACAAAGTTTGTTACACAAAAAGACCCAAAAGGAAATAATTGTAGCATAATTGCCACATATTTATAAGATAAAAATAAATTAACAACACAAGCTGATAAACATGACTGTCATGCTGTCAGGTTAAGGAAATTATTGTTTAATTCTAAAACATGTTGAGTTAGCATTACATGCAAACAACTAAGAAGGGTTTTCCTGGTATTTCTGACAGGCTGCCAATTTTTACTTAGGTCCTCATTAAATACATGACAGACCCTGAAAGTGTATAATTGTGTACATTTTCAGTACAGTTTTGGATGTTTATGGAATGCAAAAACAGAAGGTAGGAGTAATCTTATGATCGCACCTCTTGATCTAGGTGTGGAAGTCCAGTGACGGCGCTCTCCCTCTGGACTCTCCGATCAACAAACTTTCACCAGATGGCTCTGAGCAGGTCCAGGTCAGCCAGCAGATAACAGAGGAGCTCCTCGATGACGACAGCCAGACGTCGCTGGATCTCGAGTTTCTGCTGTCTGAGTGGAGCAAAAATTCTCCTGATTTCAACCCTCCTTTAGACGGTCAACAACTGGCACAACCCGACCCACACCTGACCTACCAGGAGGTGGGCATGTTCAAGGAGCAGGCAGGGCAGGGGAGTGTGCAGACGGGCAACACTGGGGTCATGGCTGAGCTCATGTCTCCTCCTGAAACCGCATCAGTGCAGCCGGAGATCTACCACCATGACTACACCAGCAACCAGCCGGGTCGACGCGCATTCCCCAACGTACAGAATATCAGTCAGTTTGACAGTGTAGGCAGTGTAGACAGACACATCAGGGGAAGTCACACTAAGCTCACTTCCTGGGACTTTAACCACTACTACGCCCAGCAGCATCACCCACTGCGCAGCATGCCAGACAGCAGGTTCATCCAGCCGCAGGTCATGACCCCCAACCCTCGACCTTACAGCTACGTGCCTCATTTCAGTCTCAACTCCAGCTTTCTTGGTGACTACTCCCACCTCCACGGCCAAGCCACGGTGCATTTGGCCAATCACCAGCAGCCGATGGTGATCAGACCACATTTGCCCCCTGGTGGAGTGGAAGAGAAGCGTGGCAGGAGGTCCTCAGTGAAAAAAAGACCTGCCATCCACACCTGTGAGTACGCCGGCTGCACCAAGACCTACACCAAGAGCTCGCACCTCAAGGCCCACCTCCGGACCCACACAGGTAAACAAAGAAACAACCACAGGAAAAGACACTCTCACTACAACCAGAACGCGTATCTCACGTGGAAAGCCACAATTCAATAAATAAGGTGCTGAGTCAATGATTACATGTGACAATTTACAAAAACTACACTAAATATGTCAAGTCATTTCAAGTTTATTTGTATAACGCATTTAATCAATCAAGCAGTTTGAAGTCAGAACGTTTATGTTCTAGGATTTGATGTTTTAGGAATTTATAAAATGCACAAAGACATAATTAAATGTTCAACTGAATAATTAAAAACTGACCTCATTGTATTTTAAATGCTAAGTGCTTTTAAAATACAATGTCGTTGTCCCGCATTGAGTACAGGTCCAAAAGTGCAGCAATGTTCATCGTAGAATAGTACATCGTAGAATAATGATGGTAATAAATATATTACTAATTAGAAGAGAATGCATTCATTTTTCATATATATATATGTAAAAAAGTATATATACGCCTTATAATGTCTATAATGCATTTTTGAAAATGCATGTTTAACTAAAAACCAAGGCATTTTATTTGATGATTGTTTTTGTAACTGAATTATGGCCCTTTTGGACCTCCGTAGAAACCGCTATGTGAATTTTACAGGAGAGAAGCCTTACAGCTGTCCCTGGGATGACTGCAGCTGGAAGTTCGCCCGCTCCGACGAGCTGACGCGTCACTACCGGAAGCACACGGGTCAGAAACCGTACGAGTGCATGCTGTGTCACAGGGCCTTCTCCCGCTCGGACCACCTGGCCCTTCACATGAAGAGACATGTCTGACCAAGCAAAACCTCACATCGACGTCTTCACTCATTTTACTGATAACAGCCATTCTCAGGTAATTACATCCTGACAAAGCAGTGCTTTTCATACAACATATGTTTGCTTTGTTCCGCTCATGTTCTCACTTCAAGGACCTTCAACAGCTCTCCTGTCTCTAAGACTGAACAGCAACTCTGCATGTTAGACCAACATCATTTATCCTAAATGAAAATGAAATGAAAAGGCAAAAACAAAGAGCAAAGCAGGATTTGTTTACTAGCCACTTATAAAAAGTGAACTTGGAACTTTTTTAAACCCTGCAAAATTTAATTGAGGACAAATGAAAGCCTGTTAAACCAACACTGTATATATACTATGCGCATGTAGATAGCTAAACACGAACAGACTATCAGGAAAAAGAAAACAAAGCAAACATTGAATATTAAAGAAAAAGAGTTGATATCTTCTGAAGTCTCTCAGTTGTGTTATGCAAAAGCACCATAAACTGCTGTTGGTTGTCTTAATGAATCATAGGTTGAGAATCAAATAAGTTTTTGCTTTTTTCTTCCCATTTTAAAAATGTAAATATTTGATACTTTCAGCTCCTTACTATCAACTAGAAATGAGTATAATATTTATATTTATGATCTTTTATATCAGCAGAAGGTACTATGTTATTAGAAAATGTTATTTTTATCATCAGACGCTTTGAAGTTGTGCACACATTGTTTATGTTGCCATAAATCAAGAAATAAAGGCTCAGAATGTTACATTTTCGAGTGTGTTGAATTATTATTGGTTGTTGATCTTATGAACGCAGAAAATAATTGACTATGACTCTAGTAAAAATATTTTTGAGAAGAAAAACATTCAAAAAAAAAAGTAAATAAACAAACTGAAGTATCAGCTGCTTCCTGTAGGTGGCAGTCTTCTCCTGCCATGTCAGTGACTGGGAGCTGAGTCTACTGTGCTTCTAATCTGGGCGAGGGTGAGGCGAGGATGACAATCTGCTTATGTAACTGAGCACCCGCTGATTCATCCTGATTATGTCATGATGGGAATCAACAGGATGTTGTGAAGCGCGCTCTGTGCCAGTGTCACAAAATGTGGCACATGCCGCACACATACAATGAGGAATGACAGTGATGAAAGTGGCCATTTATCCAAATTTACAGGACACACATGCATTTGTACAGAGCTTTAATCTGTGCAAAAGGAGGATCGACTTTATGCAAAAAAAATTCATTAAAACACCTGGAGATGTGCAAAAAACTTTATATTTTATCGCTGGAATATTTTATTAAGCTGAAAATGTTAGAAAAAAAATTTTTTACTTCTCAGTGTGTTTTTCCATGTTCCGTGAAGATGAATGTACTCAAATTGAAAGTAATATTTTTCTGAATATTTGAGTATAAAATCATGTCTCTTCAATAAAAGAGTACTTTTTAGTTTTTTTTAAATTCTCATCAAGCAAAGATAATCGTAAATGAGTGTATGTGTGAACGCCCCCCGAGGAGCTGGGGCAAGTAGCTGGAGAGAGTGAAGACTGGGCCTCTCAGGCTGCTGCCTCTTCTTCCTCTGATGGTTGGATGGATGGATGGATGGATGGATGGATGGATGGATGGATGGATGGATGGACGGACGGACGGATCAGTGTTGCATGTATCACTCTGTCATCTTTCTAAAATAATGGCCTATGTTATTTGTTTATTTATTTATTTTGCCAAAAGTGTTTTTTTTTGTTGTTTGCCTAAAACATCTTTTGTAAGAAACAGGTGGTGATTTTTATTTAAAAAAAAAAAAAAACTTTTGTCAAAAAATGACTAGGCTTTTAATTTAGGAAGGTTGACGATATAACTTTTTCCCTTTAAGATCCTCCATATGTGTGTATGTATATATATATATATATATATATATATAGTAAATAAAACCAAATGGTTGTGGTATTTCAAGAGAAGTGATGCAGCCGTGACTCTTATCTGATCCAGCAGCATCTCCATGGTGACCCGGCAACTCCGAAACAAAGTTTCAAGGTTAACTAAATGTGTGCACTCTCAGTCAACTAAAAAGTTGGGTTGATGAAAAAATGACAAAGATTTGATAGAAAATGCAAATTTAAAACGTAAAAATGTTTGAACTTATTTTAAGAATAAAAATATACACAGTAAATAAAACTGTATTTTTTTATTGAATTTCAGTCACTTGTATGATGTGTGGCAACAGGAACTTATATATCTTTTTTTTAACAAAAAATCATTAAGGAAATCAAGTAAGAGAAATAAAATGAGGAAACAGGAATTAGAAATGGTTTGCTTTGATTTTTCCACGAAGGCGTTATGGATAATTAAAACATTCTTGGAATCTGAAGGAATTTTGTTGTTAAAGATCAAGCTTAAACAGGATAATCAGGATCTACGATCCCTTAATTGGCTCAGCATAAAGAACAACCATTCATCGATGTGTGATAGATTACTCTGGAGAACCTTAAACAACACTTTAAAAGGTACACTAGCAAACATGCTGTGCCAGCTTCCCTGGGCTTGGATGGATCTTGGTCTGAAAAGGACAATAAGAAAATATACTGCTCAAAAAAATAAAGGGAACATTTCACTTTAATTTTGTGTGTGGCTCCAAATCCAGGCCTCCATTGGTTAATAAATTTGATTTCCATTGATGATTTTTGTGTGATTTTGTTGTCAGCACATTCAACTTTGTACAGAACAAAGTATTCAATGAGAATATTTAATTCATTCAGATCTAGGATGTGTTATTTGAGTGTTCCCTTTATTTTTTTGAGCAGTGTATATGTAATGGGAAGAACACAAACTGGCAAAAAAGCTCCTTTTCTCTCTGGATGTCACAGTGCAGCCCCCCTGATTGTTTTCATTGCAGCAATACAGCACTATGAGCCTCGTGGCGACGCTCCAGTGACTCAAAATGAGAAATATCTTTACATTCTCGCTGTTTCTTAAGGATGAATTTAAAGTGTTTGTTCTCCCTGTTCAAGTCAAGGTCTGCTTGTTTAGCATTGTGTAACCTCGCAAAATTTGAGTCGCCCGCTTGGGGATTAGAGTAATAAAGCTGGTGCAGACACAGGCTGAGTGCGAGGGGATTGTGAGCTGATCTGAACTGCAGTGAATGTGGACAGAGTCAAACAAGGTCACTGCGCCGCCGAGCTTCCAGGATCTAATCAAACTTCACCTGCAGGATGCGCCTTGCTCGTGTTTATTCATAGTGTGTTTGTATAGCTGTCAGCACTTTGGCTGAGATTATTCTGAAAAGTGACAACAAAAAAAAAAAAACTTCACGGTCCTCTACCATTATTATTTGGATAGTTTTCAGATTTTTTTTTTTTTTTTTTTGCACAAACCTTCTCAGTCCCACCAAACATGGAGGTACAGCAATAAACCCATCTGGTGTTTTTATTGTGAAAAAGCTCTTTAGTTTACAAACTCTCTTTGTTTACAATTTTGTTGGGAAGACAGAAGTGTTTTTCCTGGCATTTCTTCCAAACAAACATTAGCAAAAAGTGTTTTTCCTGGCATTTCTTCCAAACAAACATTAGCAAAAAGTGTTTTTCTGTCAAATCTGTGTCAACTCAAGATGCCACACCTTGCTAGAGTTCTGCAACAGTCTGCAGGGTCTTTTCTTTCCTTACCATCAATAAATGGTTATGAAGGAAAAAAAAAAGAGAAAGACCAGGTTTAGTGAGGATGAGAAATTTTGCATTTAAAATGCTCATGTTGTCTCTCAATCTCCCTACGTGGTGACAACATAAATACGGGTGAAGTTAAATTTTTTAAGTTATTGTTCTGACTTTCAACAAGTTTAGGCGAGTTGCTGTTTTGCTTTACCCATTTACAGACTTATAAAGAGCAGCTTGAACAACATGTCCTCTTGTCTTTTCCATTTTGGATATTGGCAAAGGGAAATAGGACTCTATGTCACCCCAGATAAATGGGTTGTGCCGGTTTAGTCATTTAAATGTCTAGTATATTATTCAGCTTAAAAAATTTAATAATAATATAAGGAATGCTTTGTCTCATTGGTTTTATAGGAATTGTTAAGGGTGCTCTTGTAACTGTGCAAAAAGAATAAAATCTAAATGCTTCTCAAAGTTGGATTGTTTTTATTGTATTTTTTTTTTTACCTATGAATATATTCTGCTGAAATTGAAAGTTGTATTTCGCTCTTTTCTCTGTTTAAACTTTATAAAACAGAAGATGGATTTAGCAAATTTTTAGCTAACGTAGCCTTAAAGTAACCTGTTAAGTTTGTGTAATTTACTTTTTCCTTTTGATTTTTTTATTTGAATGTGGACATTTCTAATGAATTGAAAGGGTACTAAAATAAACTGAGGGATCCGAGGGATAAAGATGTTTATTTTTTTTACACATCTTTGCCAAGTGTCCCATGTATTCACCGTGTGATGTAATTATAACTAAATAAATGATAATCCACTTAAGTTCTGGTGAGGAAACTTGTACTGAAACGTGTTCCCAGAAGCTTATTTATTTATCCTGCTGTGATTTTGTGTATCTGGCTTTCCCCCCTTTGTGTCATGGTCAAAAAGAAAGGATTACAGTTACTCAATGACCAAGAGGATTTTCAGGAAAAAATGGAGAAAAAAATATACACTAATGAGACTGACACAAAGAGGCTGAATGGGAGCCGTTTCCCTGTTTGGGGAGGAAATGTCGTCGTCCAGCAGAATGAACAATGCTGCTGTTGTCGTTCAGCTCGTCTAACCTCAGCCGAACTTCCAGCGCTGCACTGTCCTCAGACGCTCTTTCTTTGTGTGTTGCACAACAGCCTGCCTTTCTGTTGAAGACAAGGCGTTGAATCGGGCTGATTGATTCTCTGTATGGATCTGGTTATATTACTTCCACACTATATTGTGCAGAACCACCGAGTCGTCTCTCATTACCTTATAGCTCAGCTCCACACAGCAAAAAGGTTCCTGTAGCATCGATTTTAATCTTTCTGGAAGACCTGCAGATGTTTTTCTTTTTGTATCTGAAGCTTTGTTTCTCATTTTCAAAACATGTCTGAAAGAAGCAGCACTTTTTTACTATTATTATTTTGGTAGAATTAGGAAAATGAAAACAAATTTGGCTTTTCATTGTCAGCTGATAAAAGTGCCTCCATATACAGTATGAAAAAAAATAAAGCTTAATTTCATATAATAAAATTTATGAAGTCTTACTCCCTTGCAGTAAAACCTAGAGAATAATGATTATGGTCATGTTTTGATTAAGTATAGATTAATGTTTTTCATGTTTTAAAGATGAAGTCTTGTTCTTTCTGTGCATGTTTATTTGGAAATTTTTTGAGTTTTTTTAAATTTTATTTGCATATTCTACATATTTTACAGTAATTTTGAGTGACAGATCAGTGCAACACATATTTTCTATCTGCTGAGACATTTCAAGTAAATATGCAGTAAATTGTGCATTATTGTCAGTGGATAATATACAGACAGTAAGTTTTCATTAAAGTTTATGTTGTTATTTTGCAATCATGTCATTCATTTGTATTTTTTTATTTTAGGGTTAGGGTTATCATCAGTTACTCGTTACTTGTGTAGTGTTTTTACCAAATACTTTTTCTACTCTTATTTGAGTAACCATTTGAATAGCCACTTTTTGATGGAGTGTAACGTAAAAGAAACTAAAAATGGTCAAATTATGCTCTTTTTATTTTCTCTTTCCCTTTTCAAGGATTTCTTGCCTACGGGCAATATTGTACCATCATGCAACAACCAATTTAAATAAATGCCTTGAGGAGCCTAAGTCTTACTCTCTGAACTTTGCTTATTAAAACAACCATAACATGAGAAAAATAAAAAAGTCAAATCCCACTGTTTGAAGTCAGAGTTTGTCCTGAAATCTGTTGTCATCTTTTGTTGTGAGATGGAGAAATTGATGGTGATTCACAAAAAGTAACTTTCAACAACAACAAAACAACAAAATATAACATATTCCCCCTTTTTTTTAGCACATGTTCATGCGTTGTTATCTCATAACAGCATAATTTCATAAGCATAATGCAGTCTTTTCTTTCCATGAAAGCAATTTGATGGTGGCAGTTCTCTTTTGGTCCAGCTGGCTTCCCGTCCTGAAAAGGCGGAGGAGGAGTGGAGGGTGGGGGGAGGGGAGTTTATTCAGGGTGAGGATCCGACCCCAGACGAACCAGTGAGCTGCCGCTGCTGGAGGAGGAGATGCCAGAGAGATGCGGGACTCTGCGGGACTCAAACAGCCACACGACTGCAGCGCTTCGGGTTTTTAGAAGAGGTGAGTCAGTTTCTCTTTCTCTCTGTGTCACCGACGTTTTTTTCTTCCTTCTTATTTATCTGAAATGGAAAAAAAGTTTCCGATTTAAGGCAACATATTCAGTTGTGGGGAGAATTCATGATTTTTATTGCCATACCTATTTGTGAATTTACACTAACTGATATGGATGATTATGAACTTTCTAATATTATTTGAATTGGCACATAAAGTCTAAGGTTTACTTATGGCGTGCTTTTACCTAATGCTCTTATCTAATATTTAACTTGTAATGTTTTTGTTGGACCAAAAATGGCAAATATAGATATATATAGATCATTTAAATACAGCTGGAAGCACACATCTCATTAATATATAATAAATGCTATGAATAACTATTTGATTTTTAATTTTTACTTACTTAATTATTTATATCTATTCCACCAAAATGTTTTTTTTAAAGCACATGGTTATGTATTTTTAATGAGCTGTAAATGGGAAATATGTTGAAATTAAGTTTTAATTAGTGATTTATACAGTATTTAATTATCTGTTTGATAAATTGACTCTATATTTTCTATTTATTTCAAGCTTTATTTATTTGCTTGGTTGTGGCTCTTTTGGCTCTCGCTGTAATTCTCACATCATGCATTTTGTGTTAATCGCCTCTAGGTGGAGCCCTAGCCGAGCAGTGCAGTTTGAACATGGCAGCTCAGACAGTGGGAGCTGCCTTTGACGTGATGCCCCCTCTGCTCCATGCAGAGACTGTCGCTCTTGGAGGACCAGGTTCTGGTTCTGGTTCTAGCTCTGAATCCTACATTGAGAAAACCGTTTCCAACCTCAAAATGCAGACATACGAGCCCCGCTCCTTCGGACTGGAGTTTCACGAGAGCCTTGCCAGTCCAGAGGACGTTGCTGCAGCAGGTTTCGACGAGAGTAACGACGGTGTGCGTCGCAAGCGTGAGTTCACCCCCTGTGAGAGGAAAGACGAAAACTACTGGGACAAGAGAAGGAAAAACAACGAGGCGGCCAAGAGGTCCAGGGAGAAGAGGCGGGCGAACGACATGGTGTTGGAGCGCAGGGTCCTGGGTCTGCTGGAGGAGAACGCTCGCCTGAAGGCCGAGGTGTTGGCCCTCAAGTTTCACTTCGGGATGGTCAAGGACCCGTCTGATGTGTCCATCCTGCCGTTGTCCACACCACCCAGTTTGACCCACAGTAGCACCGATGGCCTCTCATACTACAACACCCACCAAACCCAGCCTGTGCAGCAGGGTGTCCGGACAGAAATGTCTCCACAGACTGGCAGTAGAGACTCCAGCATCCGTCCATGTGTCCCACAGGCAGACAGCACTGGGTTTTATGTTGAACCGCTGGACGAGTGGGTCAGGCCTCCTCCAACACAGCATCCACAGGCGTGTGAGGCAGCGAGCGGCAGAGCAGACTCATCCGACGGACTGAGGAACCTCCCACACAAGCTCCGGTTCAAAAGTCAACCCGATGGGAGGATGTCTTCATCACCTGATAGCAGACCTGTTGGCCCACCTGTAGCAATGGTGGAGCCGAACATCCAGGTAAAAACGGCCCAGCAGGTGGGATGGGCTGGTCAGGCCGATGTCCAGGCTCCTTATGGGTGTGAGCAGCAGAAGCAGCAGCAGCAGCAGCAGGTCCGGGACTCGTCCTGTGGACTCGGTGACTCCTCGTTTCTTCAGAAGTCAAAGAGGAAGTTCTCAGGAGGAGATGTGAGTCTGAGGTCGCACATCAGCAGTTTGTCGCAGGAGGTGGCTCAGCTCAGGAGGCTCCTCTCCCAGCAGCTTCTCCATAAAATCCCTTAAAAAAAAACACACACACAAAAAAAACCTCAAACCCAAACGTTGACAGAGATCTCATCCACTCAGACATTCAGCTTATAACTAATCTCTGCTAAAACGGCAAACTTTTTTATAACCAATCTTTATTTCTAGGTATGGATAAACCTAACGGTGACTTTTACATTTGATTGAGTTAACGTATTAGTAAGAAGACTGTGGGGAACGGGGAGCGCTTTAAGAAAATAAAAGATGTAACGTTAATTCCCACTGGTTTGTACCACAATTTAAACCATATGGTTTGTTTGACAGGATATTTTTTCTTTTTAATTATGAAATTACTTATGCTAAAGTTGTAATTAGTGTGATTAAAATGTTTTTTTCAGTGTTTTATTCTGTCTGTTGATCCACACCAGCACAAAACCTGTTAGGTCTGACCAGGCCAGTTGCAAAACTGACTTCCTCTTAATCCGTTTAAAGCTTTAATTGCTTGTAAAATATTAATAATAATAATAATAATAACAAAATATGACCTGCTTTTAATAAGAAGAAAGGACAAAAGCAGTGTCTCAATGGCAGGAGTTTGAATGAAGAGATCAGTGGGTGTGTAGAGTCACAGATCAGGTTATTTTCCATTTTTCTGTCTTTGTTCTCCCTACTTGGTAGAGCAAAGCCAAGCAGCTGACAGGCAGCTGAGACGGTGTGACGGTCTAAAGTCTTTGTCAGAACCTGAACTGTTTTTGCCCTTCATGTTGCTTTTATAAAGCAGTTCTGATTAAAAAATTTAGATTCTTGACAGAAAACCTTCAGAAAAAAAACCCTTAATGGCAAATTAAAAACTGAGCTCTCCTCCACAGACACTCCATCCCCACATAGACTTCTTGTGATGATGTGCAGTGACTGGTGTCTGCTGTGTTCAGTGCTTTAGAGAAAGTTGTTTCCATCCCCTGACTTATACTTTTCAGTAACATTTTCTCTGATTTACTTGTTTTTTTTTTGTTTTTTGTCTGGCCAGGAATACTGATGAACCAGTGAATGAACCTTTCAGACACAGACCTCTTTATACTACAATCACTTAGGTGATCTCCATGTCTCCCTATTTCACAGTAAGTTGAACGGAAAACTGGAAAACTTAGCACCAATTGGCTGGTCCTCTGTTGAATTAGGTCAGAAACTTTAAAAGAGCTGAACATTTATGCAATTCCTTATTTAATGTAATATAATTTGTAATTAATCGTCATTATTTTGTTGAAATCAGTTTTAACTTTGACACTGAAGGCTTCTCCTTTTTTGTGTGCGTCAAGAAAGCCAAATTTTATTACTGATTGAGATTGATTTGTAAAAGCAATAAAGAGGATAAAATAGCTCCCCAGGATGAATATTTTAGCCACTGTGGTCATAAATCCTGAAGGAAAAGGACTAGGCAGTCTAAAGTGCACTTGTGTAATGCTGCAGGTCAATAATAAGCACTGAAGGAAGACCGTAACTGGAAGGCTCAAAAAGGAAGGATGTTGAATAGTAATAAATAAATTGATAATTATTATTTAGGAAGGTACAATGTACAGCTCAAACATAAATGTCACCAAAAGCATAAGCTAATACGCATCTGCAGTCAAAGTCTGGCCTTGAGTTCAATACAAGTGGTGTGAATTCAGAAAGGCCTTTTGTGCTCCAAAATGCAACACAGGCATTTCTTTTAGTTTGATTAGAATTAGTTTGATTGATTTGATTAATGAATTGAAGGTTACTCTACTCGGCTTCTCTGATTCAAATTGTTAAACCTCATTTGACCAACTTCGCTCTGTTGCCGTTGTTTTATTAATATCAGTCGCTACGTCGAGCATGAGAACTGAAAACAAACATACATGTTGGGAAGATGTATAAGGTTTCTGAAAACTTTTATTTAGCTCTCTGACATTGGCACATACGTAAAAGGTCGGGTGATGCAAATGTCAAAGTTTTATGAGTCCTCTGAGCCACATTTAGCAGTTATTGGCTCTTTTAATCAGCTGTCCAGCTCCCTGCAATTTCAATCCTACTTTTACTCACACAGCGCCTTCAAGATGAACTCCCACTGACCAACAGAGCCGTCTGTTTGTTTTCATGAGTTAGTTGTTAAATGGAATAGCTGGAAAGGTCAGCTGGAGATTTGGAAGATCCAGTTTGGTCACGTGCATTTCAAAAGTTGAATTCAACCGGGACATTTCAAAAGCAATAAGAAATTATTGTTGGGGCGTTATGTTTAATAAAGCAGATGTACTCCAATTACCTCAGTAGCTAACCGAGCCACGCTTTATAACAAAAAAATCTTTGAACCGATTCAAAAGAGCAGTAAATTATTAACTAAGAGAAAGAAAAAGATTAGCAACATCCTGAAAAAAACATGTTTATATTTGCCCAAAACTGAGCTACTTTGCTTTCACTACAATACTCAGGAAAAAAAGATCTAATTTGAAAGAGCTGGGTGACATTTAAGTTGATGTATTCTGGGAACTGGGTCATTAATTCTTGTCTTCTTTAGGCAGGACATCTAAAATAATTTGAAATATCAACGAAAAGTTAATTCATTTCACTCATTTCATTCAAAAACTACACCGCACCCCACTCTCCATGTCTTGTGACTCTCCCTCAAACTCTTCACTCTTCTTACCGTTTTTTTAAAAGTTGCAATACCTCCGTTATTTCACGCAAGAAAGTGTTTTCCTTCTTACGCATGAAGCTTAAGGCTTCACTAGCAAAGATGACCACAGCACAGTGATATGAGGCAAAATGTTTATTGAACAAAAGACTTGAAGGGGAAGGACGGACTGGGTTTGGAGATGGGTCATCTGGGGCAACTTGCTGATGAATGCTTAGGAGGAAAAGACTCAGCGTGAGGAAGAAGTCTTCAGGAAATGACCTTTTCCTGAGCCAATGCAGGACCAACCAGATGGGACATGAAACAAAGAGGACTGGATGGAAATGATAATAAAAAGTAGATATGAGGATGAGGGGGATAAGAAGGGATGAGGAGAGATGAAGAGATGTCCAACGGAGGGTTGGGATTGAAACAAAATGGCTGACAGTGAAGGCTGAGTTAAATGGATACAAACAGACTGCTGGGTAATTAAAGCAGTGTTTGAAGGAACATAACTAACTCATAAGGTATTGTTTTTTTAATTTTCTTTGTCTAATTAGAAGGTCTTAAAAATATGTTTTAAAATATTTTAGACGGTTTGATGTTATTTGTTTTCTGAGCAGTGACAGGTGGAGGGACGTGTGTTCAATCAGAAAACCTAGTGCTGGTTTTGTGGCATCAGAGGCTTTTATTTGCAAAGTTCAGACAGGACAGAGACGTAAAAAGAACGGGGTGAGACATGCAGCATAGACCTTTATCTGGAGCTCGAGGACAGCCTCTGTGTGAGTTTCCTGTTCCACCATTACACCATCAGAGCCCCAGTTAATCAACTGGTTACTGTAATGCAGAACAGGAGTGTATGAAATAACAGACAATGCTCCTAATAAAGATCAAACTTAAGTAACACATTGATCACAGAACTGTTTTTAATCGTATTGCCATTTAAGTAAAGAAAAACAAAACAAATCTGACATTTTTTTCCCTTTTCATCCATAGGGCTTTTCTTTTTAGCATCTTTTTCCTTTTTTTCTACGACAACTTTGTCACTAAAAGCAAGAAGTCTCACTCTTACGACTACTTACTACACATGCAATATTGAAAAACACCTGTGTGAGAACAAAGAAAATAACACCTAAGCTTGAAAAATGAAGGTTGCTTTCAAACTTTTACCTTCCACTTAACTTTCCATTAATCTGCTTGGAAACAGCCAGCTTTTGCAGCAGTGACCTTTACGACTTCTGCGAAGTCTCCACAACAGTTGTTCTTAAATCTGCTATATAAAAAAAATGATTTTATAAGCTTTGGTTTCTGAACCGAAACCATGAAATAAATGAACTTTTCATTGATATTCTGGTTTTTGACATGGACTGTTATCTACAGAAGTTTTGACCTTGTGCGTTCAAACTCTTGTGTGCGCAGCAGAGGAACGTCTGATCTGAAGGTCACAGCGTACGTTCAAGTTCACTCAGAGCTAAAGTAAACAATTTGATTTTCATTTCTGGCTATGCATTGTTTAATAAACGCCGTAAAACTGCAATCACCGCAGTGGCGTCGACCGGGTTTTCTCGGCAAAGGTGATCCACTCACAGGGGACAGCGAGACGTGAGGAGCGGGGGTGGGGGGTGAATGCAGGGAAAAATAGTGAGACCCTGAATGAGTCATCGATCACGTCAGATGGAAAACAGAAAAAATAGGCTATTTTTAGCCTTAAAGGAGCTGAGCTGGAAACAGATTGTCCCATGTGGGGGGAAAAGGAGGCATGATCAGCATCCATACATCAGCTCTTTCAGAACCAGGATGTGGCTTTGGAGAACTCACAACCAGAGAGCTGCAGCAAAAAAATAACAATAAAAATAAAAAAAAACAGATCCAGAATTACTCAACAGTCCCTCAAAAGATATTGAAATCTAATTACACCTTTGATTATTCATTCAGCATTTCCTATTTACGGCAACACTAGAGGGCGCTGAGTGCCTTCATGTGCATGAATGTCATTCATTCATTCATTCATTCACAGCGCCGTCTATTGTGTTTACTACACCACCACATGGTGCACATGCAGGTGGATTTCAAAGGAGAAGCTTTTTTAATGAAAAATGTCTGCAGAAGTCGAACGTAATCTCATTTCAGTAGCAACATCCGCTTCTTCACCTAAACAGCAACAGAGACACCAGACCTTTTGTCTGTGATCCAGTCTGATAACCCCCCCTCCCCCCCCTCCCTAAATAAATATGAGAAGCAGTGAAAGCCTGTGGTTGCTAAGCAGGCAATGCCACACCACAGCTGGAGCTGCAGCTGGAGAAATGGTGGAGAGAGTTGGGGGTTGGGGCTTCTGACAGAGGATTGACTGGGAGGAAGGAGGAGCCAGACAAGTTCAAAGCTGCTGTTTCCCCAACACCGTAATGGTGGTAATGATGTGTGTGTGTGTGTGTGTGTGTGTGTGTGTGTGTGCGTGTGTGTGTGTGTGTGTGTGTGTGTGTGTGTGTGTGTGTGTGTGGTGAACTGGTGCACGTGTGTGGTTGCAGACAGAGAGGGGGGAAGGGACGGAGCTGAAGCAGCACTGATGTAAGACCCCATGAAATATGGAATATGAACGTGCTGAGAACAACAGGCTTTGTTGGATGATGGAAAAGCTCCTAAAAGAAAATTTAAAATTTTTCTTTAAATGAACAAAAAGATAGATAAATAAAAGTAGCAACTCCATGCGTGCTGTTAATATGAAGTAACTTCAGCCACATGAAAACAGGTTATTCAAGCATTCATTTTGATCTAAAACAGCAAATTGTATGATTTAGGTTTCGATTTTAAATAAATGTCGATGCAGATTTTTAAGCTGGACCAAAGCAATGAAAAGGGTGACGCGCAAATTATTTCCCCACTAAAAAACCTGAATGCAACAGCAGAAAACATTGGCGCTGATATAAAGTGCTTTGCTGCATAAACAACACGATTCTCTAATCATCTTGTTTTTTGCAGACCAGAGCAGGACAAGAGATGATTTGAGGTTGTTCCAGCTCACTACTCAACGAGTATCTCCTGCACATAATTCACGTTTGAATGTTTTTGCAATGAGATAATAAGATTACTAACAGCTACATATATTATCTGACTGTACAGCTGAATGGATGTGGGCCTTTTCCTCAACTGAGCCACAATCAATCTGAATAAAGAGGAGCAGATCAGCCGTCCGTATGCATTTCTAAAAAGTCATAGAAAAGCTGCAGGATTGGTGCACTAATGAATAACTTCTGTCTTTTATGTGATGAAACTATAATTACGTGCCAAATGTGTGGTGTCACAGGAAATTAATTTTGCACATTAAGTCCTGAACGGTGCAACATGGTGAAGAAAGCATCATGCTGTGTGGATTATTCTTCAGCAGGGACAGGTAAGCTGGACAGCGCTGAGGAGAAGAGTGATGGAGGTTCGCATGCGGTCAGAGCTACAATGAAATGCTTTGAAAATCATATTTCTTTGCAGGAATGGTCAAAGTGCAAACCTAAAACCAACTGAGAGTCTGTGTTAAATATTTCTTCTACAAGGCTCTTCATCCAGTGTTGACTGAGCTGGAGAAATTCTTCAAAGAAAATGGATGAAAGGTTCACTCTTCAGATGTGAAAAGCATCTACCGTAACCTAAAACACCTCCAACCCTTTGTGCAGCAGATACCAGAGTAGAGAGATTTTCTTAAGAAGTCCAAAACTTTCTTTTTATATTCAGAATTATGTATTTGATCTTAGTATTTGATAAAATTACCTTAGAGACTGTATGACTTGTGTTAAACATGTTGGGTATCCTTCCGCAGGCCTTGTGTTTGTAGGCCAACCTGCTCACACACACGTACACACACACACCTTTTCAACTCTGACCACAAATCTTCTGTGGGACTGATGTCCTGAAGCACCTTTATAGGTAATTTGGTGGTATGCTAAGAGCTGCTGTCTATTTGGAAGATTTGTTTCTGCCAAACTTTAGGAGCTAGGATTATGTCTATCGATATTATGTCAGTTTTTACACATATTGTTATTTCTACATGATGCTATTATATATTTAATGAAGATCACCAGTCCCTCATGCAGCATAACACCCCCACATCATCACGGTGCCACCTCCGTACATCATTGTTGGGAAACCCAGGAGCTCTTTCTGCGTGGGCTTGGAGGTTTCCCTGCTTTTTCTCCAAATGTAACAATTAGCATTTTTGCCAAACACATCAGTTTTGGTTTCATGAGCCAGGACATGTCTCCGAAATTTAACCAAACTGCCATCAGGATTATCGTTTGCTACGGATGTACGGCTTCTTCTCTGAGTGGCCTTTCAGCGCATGGTTCCTGTTTTGCTGTGGAAAATCACCAGCTCCAGCCAGCATCTTCTCAAACCTCAAATGTTTTGGCCTTGTCAGAAGCCATAGAAGCCCTATTTTGACTTTCCTATATTGTTTAGAATTATACTAATTGTATATTATGTAAATTTTATAAAGAAATAATATTAAACAAGCTTTAAACTGGTTTATTATTCTCACAATGATCTAATAGATCCAATTTTGACAATCTAATCAAACTTAAAAAGGTCAAGTTAAATCAGTTTTTTTTTTTAAATATCAGGCTATGAGAAACAAAAACATTGAGTATTTTCTATACAGTTTTATTTAAAACAATTAGGTTCTCTTATCAAAACTCTACTGGTATTCATACAAATAGTCAAAAATAAAATCATGACAGACTAGTCTAGAGCTATGAAAAAAATAAGATATTTCATATTTAAATCCTAAAGCTTAATTTTAAATATTGTTTAATTTCCACCACAGTTTTCAGTATTTTACAGTAGTTCATAAAAGCTCATTAATTCGGGTCTATTCCAGCAGGAAGAGGAAGACCGTTCATACCACATAAACAAATGAATAACAGACTATATATTTTAACTATCTTCGGTCTACAAATGACTTATGGGGTAGATGTTTACAAACATCTTGGGTTGCTAAAGGATTAGCAAAAAAAGTTCAGGTTTCATAAGAGCTAATTTTGTCTTCATTCGAGGAAAAAGTCCTGTAATGAGCATGGCTTAAAAACTACAGCACAACAACCCAGGTGTTGTTACGCATTCACACTTTTTTTTTAATATATATATAAAAACGAACCACTCCCGCAAGTGGAGGAGCCGAAAAGAGATGGAGCGCAGAGGGGAACAAAAAGAAAGGGGCCAGTAGAGCTCCTGCAGAGAAAGAGAAAAAGAGAGAGAGAGAGAGAGAGAGAGAGAGAGACCGAAAAAAACGTGACTCGGCAGCCTAAGAGCTGTTATGCAACCGCTGACCTACTAACACATATCTGTAGCAGGGGAGCCGGAGAAACTGGAGCAAAGTGTCCGGCAGCGCACAGCCGACGCACAGATAGCCCGAGCCAAAAAGGACAGGAACAGCATCCAGCCGAGCCAGTGACTCATCCGACACCGAGCCGAGCGGCGGCACTCGCACAAACTTAGTTTTATTTCACGGCTCCTCGCTCCTTTTTTTTTTTCTCTCTCTCTCCTCTCCTGGAGGTTTCCTCCTCTGAAGGGACAATACGGGAAGGAGGAAGCGGGAGCGAGACAGCTTTTGTGTCGGGGAAAGCCTGAAGCTTTTTTTCCTGCTGCTGCTCCTCCTCCGGGACGCTAAAAGGTATGTTTTGACTGAGCGCTGGACTGCTTCGTGGACTCCCGTCTTTACCTGTGTGCGTGTTTTAAACCCCTTTTCCGCCTCACATAAAGCCGTTTCACCGACGGGAGGAACGGGATGCTCGTGGCCGGGTATTGTTCACATGGCGACTGGCTGCTCCGCCGGTTTGATCCCGCGTCTGTGCGTGACTTTCAGGCGTTTTGCGGCTTCCTTCTTGGGTCACGTAACACACGACTCATAGGGGAGCCAAGCTGGACACGTT